AAAGTTGTCAAGACAACTTTCTTCGGACCAGAATATATACTAGTTTATTTTTATTTTTATTCTCTCACAGTTATGGAGAATCATGCCAAAAATCAAATTAGAAATTATTCAAGAATGTCAGATCTGCTTCAAGTTATTTTTATAAGATAGAGAGAAACAAATAAAATCCTTGTTTCTTTAAAGGGTTTTACACAGGTTTTCTTTAGAGTATAAAAGACAAGAAAACAGGAGCCACTTTTTACATATGTTCCAAGTAATAAGTCATATTAAATTCTCAATCAATATTTCTTCAATAACAAGCCAGCACTAGTATCAAGTGCTAGAAATAAAAATCATTAAAATTATTTCAATTATTCATTTTGAAATAAAATTTATAAAAATCATTAAAATTATTTCAATTATTCATTTTGAAATAAAATTTCAAGAACTATCTTTTTTGTCGTGGTGATTCTTCATCGGGTATGGATGAATGATGAGGCATAAATGACCAATGTAAAACATTCCAGAATAAAGACGGGGTCCTTGTCACATGGCCATGAAATATTAGGCTCACAGACACTTTGAAGGGTGAGAAAAATAAAATTTATAAGCAAAAAGGATAAAGAGGAACCAGGGACCCTCAGCAGAGTGAGAGTCCTGCTAGCGTAGGCTTCCGGTTTCACAAATTGAATTCCAGGTTTCACACAGGAAGGGAAGAGGCCAGGCTCTCCACACTGCAAACTGTGCGAACTTCCCGAGGCTCCACTCCAGTGCTCGCTCCTCCCAGCGTGCAGGCTGTTGGAGGTTCTCTGATGACCACTTTATACTCAGCCGCCTCATTCCTCTCTCTAAATGAGTACATCCAACTGCTGTTAGAATAAGGATGCTGCTTAGGCTCCAGCTTCTTGACCATTCAACCTTTGATGGCTGAAGGTGAGACAACACACACCAGATTATTGGAAAACAGGTATCAAAACAAAATGAGCTGGGTGCAGTGGCTCACGCCTGTAATCCCAGCACATTTTGGAGGCTGAGGCAGGTGGGTTGCCTGAGGTCAGGAATTTGAGACCAGCCTGGCCAACAGAGTGAAACCCCGTCTCTACTAAAAATACAAAATATACAAAACACTACATAGGCATGGTGGCAGGTGCCTGTAATCCCAGCTACTAGGGAGCCTGAGGCAAGAGAATCTCTTGAACCCGGGAAGTGGAGGTTGGTGAGCCAAGATCTCACCATTGCACTCCAGCTTGGGCCACAAGAGAGAAACTCTTTCTCAAACAAAACAAAACAAATCAAAGTGAATCAAAATAAGGGGAGGGGTAAGGACCGCACAAAAGTCCCAAGGCCTTTTACCAGTTTGCACAGGAGAGGGAGGCCAAAAACCCCACTGATAAAAGGAAACTTGGCCCTTTGGCCAGCATGTTGTGCTTCTGGGTTCCCTTCCCCTGAGCCTAATCCTAAACTAACCAGCTTAAGGTTTGAAAACTTAACTTTTCTCAGTTTGGAGGATACATCTGAGGAAAGTGTCCCATAGTATAGAGACAGAATTGCCTCTCTGTGAAGACAGGACAGAAGAGGAGAAAGAAAAAGATGTTTTTTCAAAGGAGTCCCAGGGGTTCAGGATGGATTTCAAAGGGGTACAGATGGAAGATGGATGGCTACCCGTTTAAAAACAGGGGAGCAGGCACACCTGGTTTCCTTCTCTTCCTAGCAGATATACCCTGGGTATGTGAGGAAGAGGAGGGTGTCCTCTTTCCCTCTTCTGTCCTTGCATCCCTGAGTCCCAGCAACCTTGGCAGGTGCCACCCAGAGCTGCCAAAGCAGCTTGCACTCATGAAGCAGGGAGGGCCTAAAGAATAAGAATTATCCACTCTCACCCATGTCTCTAGTCCACCTACTCTCAGTAGCCTTGGAGTTCCCTAGACCTCATTTATGCCACACATACTACTCACCCATGAAGAGGAACAATATAATGGATGAAACTGGAGACCATTATTCTAAGTGAAGTAACTGAGGAATAGAAAACCAAACATCTTAGGTTTTCACTCATAATTGGGAACTAAGCTATGAGGGTGCAAGGCATGAGAATGATACAATGGATTTTGGGGCCTTGGGGAAAAGGGCAAGAGGTGGGTGAGGGATAAAAGACTACACATTGGGTAGTGCACATTGTTCAGGTGATTAGTGTACCAAAATCTCAAAAATCACCACTGAAGCACAAGAAAGCAGAAACCGTTTTCTACATTATGTTCCAAATAATATTAAATGCTCAATCAATCTTTCTTCAAAAACAAGTCAGCACTAGTACCAAGTGTTAGAAATAAAAACATTAAAATTATTTCAATTATTCATTTTGAAATAAAATGTAAATAACTAAACACCTGTTACCCCAAAAACTATTTAAATTTAAAAAATGCAAAAATTTAAGTCTACGACAGAAAAAGAAGTCTCATAAATCTGTAAGTCATATTTCTGACAGCATGCCAAATAGATTTATGTATTTATGTGTTGTGTACACAATATTTCTCTACTATAGAGAGCTCTAATTCACTGGCTTAAAGAAACATACAAGTACGTAAGTCAACCATTTTATCAATAAAAAGACTAGTCAAATGCTTTTTCACATTTATGTGACTTAAGTAAAATCTTTTAGAAATAAGCTGGCTCTCAAATTATTGAGAAATTATTAGAAATGCTGTGAAAATTTCCAGCATTGTTGTTTGCATTTGTTGATCACGTAATTTCGTGCTTATTTCTGCAGAATACAATGAAGATTTGTCATAAAAGTTATAAAACTATACAACCCCACCCAAGACAGAATGATCTTTGCTTGTGTAATTTTTGATAAAAAAGACATGGAATAATTTGATTTAATGAAAACATCTACCTTTCGAGTTATTGGTAAAATACCCTTATATTTAACCTTAAGAAAACTGCTTAAATAGGCTGGGCACGGTGGCTCATGCCTTTATTTGGGAGTACTTTGGGAGGCCGAGGGGGGGGGCAATCACCTGATGGCAGAAGTTCAAGGCCAGCCTGGCCAGCATGGTGAAAACTCTCTCTACTAAAAATACAAAAAAAATTAGGCTGTGGGGTGGCAGACACCTGTAGTCCCAGCTACTTGGGAGGCTGAGGCAAGAGGATCACTTGAACCCAGGAGGTAGAAGTGGCAGTGAGCCCAGGTTGCACCACTGCACTCCAGCCTGGTCAATAAAAGCAAAACTGTCTCAAAAAAAAAAAAAAAAAAAAGAAAAGAAAATTACTTCAACACCGGAAATTCACAGCTATAAATATGGTTAACAGGGAATTTACTTTAAATAATGACTATCACAGTTTTCATCATCTAGATAAAATATTAAATAATCTTGTAAATGTAATGGAATAAATGGTTGCAAACAGACTTGTCATATGATTTGGTATCTAAGGTTATTAACAGATATTAAGTAGCTGGGTAATTTCCAACTCAAAAAATGTAGAAAACACTTTTAAAATGTTCTTATTAGGAGGTCAATATCTTTGTCTAATTCAAAGCTTTTGTAAAAGTTATATATAAAATGAGGTAATAGGAACCAGGAAATAAGAGAAGAAAGTTAAAGATATAAAGAAGTATCCCATTGATAAAGGTGGAAAAAAAGCAATTTTATATAAGAAGGAATCTTGTGTGGTAAATTTTTTGTCCTAAAATAAAATGACCAGGTTTTTCAAAAAAGGAAATATTTAGGCAAAACAGAAAGTTTAAGCATGTTGTGAATCATCTATGTAAACTGATAAGAAGATTAGTTAATGGAAATTTTGTTGTTTTTTTTTTTTTTT